TATGGAAAATCAGCCACAGTTGGAAAGATTAGTGAACAGCAGACACAGAAAAACATATTCAAAATGCAGCATACAAAGAATAAAATAAGATATAGATGAGATGAAGACAGAAGAAATAAAGGTTACAATGAGAAGTGTTCACATGCATTTAACCAGAGTATCAGAAGGAGAGGAGAGAGAGCAAATGGCATATCCAAAGATGTGGGACATTTCCCAAAACTGATGAAAAGTACCAAACCACAGTTTTAAGAAGTCCAACCAAACCCCAGGCAAATAAATAAAGAGAAATTCATACTGAGATGCATCATGAACTACAGATAATCAACACAAAAGTTAAATCTTAAAAACTAGCACTTCCCTTGTAAGTGGCAACAGAGAGAGAAGGAAAACACATTAAAGGGGCTCTGACCACCTGAATTCATGGACTCCAGTATGTAAAAAGGATTCAAGAAGCTTTCCAAGACTTACGGAGTCCTACTGTGATGCGATAGGATAAGCACTGGACTGCAAATCTCAAGTTCAGCAGTTCAATCCTACCAACCAATTTCAGAAACCCTATATAGGGTTGCTATGAGTTGGAACTAACTCTATGGCACTTAACAACAACTAAGATTTACATAATGCAAATATATAAACTAATGGACAGGTTATTAATTTGAGTGACGGAAGAGACATAGTACAATAGAGGGGCGATCAGCACAATGTTACTAAAGAAAAAGAAGACACAGAACAGTGCACAGGAGTCAGATAATAAAGGTAAATACTATTAACACTTCAACATTTTTTTTAATGAGAAAAGCAAAGCAAAAGGAAACAGAAGAGGGAAGTATGCTTATTATAATATTAAGATTCATTCTGAAAATGCTTGCTATAAATTCCTATTTACTTGCTAGAGAGGAACCACAAATTTGGCTTTAAGCCTTTTAGCACCTATATAGAGTCATATACAAGATTTTTAGTCACCACTAACCAGGTGTCCAGAGAAAACAACTATCCCTAAAGAAGAGGATAGGTAGCAATGATAACAAATAACATTTGCAACATCTTCTGACAGTAAACACCATGCCACATTTTACAGACCAAAGTATAGTTCAGCAAAATCAACTTAAGAAGCAGACCAAGAAAGAGCATCCCAGAGATGAGGAGGCTCAATCCAGGAAGACCGTTTTAGAGCCTACATGTGCTCAAAGAAATTTAATAGATAAACTTTTTGATCTTTTTCCCAAAAAGTACCTGTCTTTTTGTTAAGTACCATCAAGTCGGTTCTGACTCACAGCAAACCTATATAGGGTTTCTGAGGAGCAGCTGGTGGGTTTGAACTGCCAACCTTGCAGTTCAAAGTTCGTTGCTGATCCTAGAGATCCACACCAGTAGTCCCTAGGCACAGTTACTGTATGTGGGTAGTTTGGTACAGAGCCATATGCTGAACTATCAGCTGAAATCAGAGCAGGATTACAAGGCCCTCTCAAAAACTGAGGAGTCGGAAACCATCAAGGCAAGAAATCAAGTTCCTTTAGGACAAACCCCCCTCCAAGACTGAAATTCAAAGGGAACACATGAGCAGGCATGTTAAGCTTGCTGGTGACCACACTGGTCTGTGGAGGAGTAGAAAAAGCAGCAACAATGAAACGGGCTGAGTTCAACCACATTCCGTACACTCCCATTGACCTGGAAATGAGAGAGAGAAGAGGAAGGGCTGGTTGTTCTAAAGTGTGGTGAGACCTGGGGACATGTGACAAGGTCACAAAGACACAGCCACAGAGGGCTAGAGCTGAGAGTAAAGCATCCAGCTGATACGAAGTGAGGGGAGATGCACAAGAACACTCAAACTTGTAGAAAGTATTCATTTGACCTAGCCTCGATGGCTTGATAATCAGAACTCAACTAGAGAAAGATTACAAAAAAGAACAAAAAAATTTTTGATATGGGAAACAAGGGGAAATTGCTACAATTTGATGAACTTGACCTATACTCATGGAGGTTGTTGCTGTTGTTAAGTGCCATCGAGTTGGTACCTACTCATAGCGACCTTATTCACACCAGAATGAAACAACTGCCAGATCCTGGACCAACCTCTACTGCTGTCACACTTGAGTCCATCAATGCTGCCACTTGGCCAATCCATCTCGTTGGGGGGTCTCCCTCTTTTTCTCTGACCCTCCACCTTACCAAACATGATATCCTTCTCCAGCAAGTGGTCTCTCCTGACAATATGTCCAAAGTATGAGAGACGAAGTTTGGCCATCTCGGCCTCTAAGGAGCACTCTGGCTGCACTTCATCCAAAACAGATCTTTTGGCAGCCCATGGCACTTTTAGTGTTCTCCTCCAACACCGTAACTCAAAAGCATCAATTCTTCTACAGTCTTCCTTATTCACTGTCCAGCTTTCTCATGCATGCGAGGTTACTGAAAATACCATGGCTTGGGTCAGGCGCCCCTTAGTCCTCAAGCTGACATCTTTGCTCTTTAACACTTTAAAAAGGTCTTGTGCAGCAGATTTGCCTAATACAATATGTCATTTGATTTCTTGACTGTTGCTTCCATGAGTGTTGATAGTTGATCCACAAAGAATGAAGTCCTTGACAACTTCAATCTCTAAATACCAACAGAGAGGGAAGGAATCTTCACATGAAGTATCAATGCTATCCCCTCTGTACACAGGGTAGATAGGGATGGCAACTTAGATATTGGCTACCTAAAATGAGGGGGCGATGGAGGCATGAAAAGGCTGGCTTACGAGATTTCAAGAGGGAGTTTATTTTAAAAGTTTGTGGGGGAAGAAAGAATCCCCACTGAATAGTTTTCATCTTGTCTAGATGGGTCTGGTTAAAAGAGATGAGGATGGGAGTCTTATGATTCAATAGTGAGTAATAGTTACCACGACTAATTGCGACTGTAACAACTGTAAAGGTAGAAGTTTTGTGACAAAAATGGGGGAGTAGTTAATTTTACAGTCCAGAAACAGAGGACCCTAGGACCATCAAGGGAGAAGAGCACAAGTGGAATGCGGGACCTTATCCAGAGAAGTAGTGACACCAGAGATGGAGGCAAAGATAGGGACATGGAGAAAGGGAGCAGTTAAGGACTGTAGATTCACTGGACGAGAGGAGGATTAATTGCTGGTGGCCAGGAGGTCGACTTGCAGAATGCGCCCTTTGGTGGTGTAAATTATTATATGTGCCTGAGTGTTTTAAAAGAAAGACCTAAAGTGAATAGAGAAAAATACTGTCAACTGATGGTACATGGAGGGGACTGTAAAAATCATTGTCATGAAACCAGGTGTATGATTTGTTGAATGTAACACTGATGATCTGCCCTGTAAATTTTCATTCAAGTCAAAATAAAAACTTAAAAACAAAAAAACTGAGGAGTCTCAAGGAAACCTGCTTAAACAGAAGGTCTGTCCATCTCAACTGAAAAGCTTGGGGTCTCGGATGCCCCTCAGCCAGTTTCATTACTCATCAAAGATGATGAATGATGTAGGTCTATATGCTACGAAGTAAGAATGCAACTGAAAAGAAAGAATATCCAGCTGAGAGTTACAGTGAAAGAAAAATAAAAAAGACCTGGTATAACTGATGAGGAATCAAAAAAACCCACAAGGGGCTGCGTGCTGACGACCGCGGGGACAGGCTTGTACAGTATGCCCTGTGGTTGGTTGATGATCCATGGAGGGGATTGTAACCATGGCTAATGAAATGATATATGATAGGATGAATGTAAAACTAATGTTCTCCCATGTAAACTATCACATAATTCACAATAAAACATTTTTTTAAAAAACCCACAAAGATCTGAACAAGAGAGAACAGAAGTATCATAACAGAGAAATTGGGCAGATACCTTTTGAAATAGAACCTTTCAGTTTTAAACAAAATGTTTTAATCTAAGTATCTCTGTAGAAATTTCTAGAAGAAAATGCATGACTAACACTCAAGAAAGACAGAGTTAGGGAAAGAGCTAACAATTTAGATATCTGCTACATGGAGATAACAATTGAAGTCAATGAATAGTTTTAATTCCTAAACGACCAAAATCCTTTTCCTCAAAGCACTACTCAAATACCAGTTAAAACCCAGCCAGAAGCACCACGGAAAAAAAGGCCTAGTGACCTGCTTCCATAAAATTACAGTCAAGAAAACCCTATGTTGTTGTTGGTAAGTGCTGTCGAGTTGTTCCAACTTATAACAATCCTGTATAGAGTTTCCAAGAAGCAGCTAGTGGGTCTGAACTGTGGACCTTGCAGTTAGTAGTCCAGTGCTGATAGTACAGCCCTATACCAGGAAAACCCTATAGAGCAGTTCTATTCTACAACACACAGTCACTATAGATTGGAATCAACTACAAGTTGCAATCAACTCAACAGCAGTGGGTTTATCAGGGGTGAAGACATAGCTTAGTAACAACTAAAGTCAACCTTCCATGTGATGTAAGAGGTAGGAGGAAGACAGTAGTTCCTTCCACAAAAGCAGCCATGATTAGAGATTCCCAAAGGGGCTCTTAATTTTACAAAGAAGAGAGATGCAGCCCTCAGATACAGAGTCAGAGAGGAACTAAATACAGGGACTGTAGTGGTGGTCGTGGTGGTGGGGCAGTGTGTGTGGAGTCAGTTACAACTCACAGAGACCCTGTATAGGCTGTCCAAGGCTATAAATCATTATGGGAGCAGAAAGCCTCATCTTTTTCCCATGGAGCAAATGGTAGATTCGAAGTGCAGACCTTGCAGTTAGCAGTTCTGTTCATAACCCATTACACAGTACCAGAGTTCCTTACAGGAACTGTTGCTGCTGCTGTTAAGTGTCGTCAAGTTGGTTCCATCTCATAGCAACCCTGTATAGGGTGGGTTTCCATGGAGCGGCTGTTGAGTTTGAACCACTGACATGCAGTTCACAGCAACCTTGACGTCGAGTCCTTATCCTAACAGTGCCCCACCAGGACTCCATAGGGACTGCAGTAGCTTAAAAATAAAATGGCAGAAAAAGTTAAAAAGATAAACTTACTCTTTTCAATGAGCTGGTCCTGAACTCCTGCCAATGCACTTACTGCCTAAAAGAAAAAGCCACCAATTACTAGAAAAGCCACCAGTTACTAGTGTTCCGGTGACCACTCGAAGCAAGGTAGGAAGGGGAAGAGGAAACTCACAGAAATGAAACTGAGGTCTTCCTCAGCACTGGGCCACAAAAAAGATCCCCCCCCCCACATCCCACCTCACTTACAGCTGCTGAAGTAACTGAGGATTTACTGAAGAGTCGCTCAGCTTCCTTAAACTTCCGGTTCCTTCGATCGTTTTTGCTATTGGAGTTTCTAAAATACACAGAAGAAACTCATCATAAGCATCAAGTTATGACTATGGTTCAAGCTGCGAATGCCCTAGGACAGGGGAAAGGAGCTCTTTTTATCTACCATGATCCAGAAAAGAATGCTACCATAATTAAGGGCCGTGCACAAGGGAGAATTATCTTCATGCAGAGTTGCTGCTTTGGAAAAATAAAACATTCCATTCATCTGTTTTCAAAATCAAGAACAGAAAATATTAAATGTTTAATAAATAATCACACAAAAAACATACATTATTTAACAGAAGGAAAAGGGGGAGAAACAATAAAGGAGGAGAGAACTAAAGAAAAGAGAAAAGAAACAGGATTAAAAAAGATAAATTTTAAGAGAAAACAAACTGAGAAAGAAACACAAAACATTTCAAACAAAGAAACAGGTAAGAGATTTACAGAAAGGAATACACAGACACAGTATGGAAAGTCTGCCAAACAGAGAGAGGTCTAACAGACACACAGATAGCTAGAGGAAAGGGGGAAAGACAGACAGCATGCTCCTAAAACTGTAGGGGTGGAAGAAGTCAGAAAAACAGATCAAGAGGGAGGAGACAAGGAAAAGACAAACACACAAGGAAGGGGAGTGAGACAGAGTGAGACAGCAGCAAACAAATCTAAACCTACAACAGGACAAAGAAACAAATCCTAAGTATAACTGAGAATAAACATACTGATATGGATGAATGAAACAAGTATGATGGGGGCCTGCTGTTGGACTTGTGTTCATAAGGCAAAAAAGACAATCACATAAGGGGGAAAGTATTAAGAGCAAAAATAAGAGGGAGGAAACATAAGAACTAGCAAGATTCAGAAATGCTCATCGAGGTAATGCTTCACGAACATCCTACCTCACACGCGGACTTCAAAGTTGTAGCTAATCATTGTTCCCCACAGCTCAAGCCTGTATTCTTAACGTTTTAATGGTCTCATTCTGAATGGTATAAAACAGATTACTAGACCCAAATCAGGCTTTATTTACTCTAGGAATTAACATTTAGGAATTAAATTAGAGGAACCTACTTATTGTGGTGCTGTGGGTTAATGAGCCAGACTGCAAAGTCGTTTGAACTGCAAGGTTGGTGGTTCAAGCTCACCAGTCACTCCTCGGAAACCCTATACAGGGTCGCTATGGGTAGGAACCGACTCAACGGCACTTAACAACAAGAACCTACTGCTAAAGGAACTCTAGTAGCGTAGTGGTTACGAATCGGGCTACTTTCTAATCTCACGGTCAGCAGTTCGAAACTACCAGCTGTTCCGGGGGAGAAAGATGAGGCCTTCTGCTCCCGTAAAGATTTACAGCCTCAGAAATCCTGTACAGGGTCGCTATGGGTCGTATCTGACTGCACAACACATAACAACCACGACCTAGTGCCATCGAGTTATTCTGGCTCAGTGACCCACACAGGGTTTCTAAGACAGTAAATCTTTGCAGGAGCAGGCCAGTGCTACTAGGGATCCCTAAATAGAGAAGCAGAGGCTAAATCAGACATTGCATTTCTACTATAATTTTTGTCCTCAATGGTCCCCAAACATGACAAAATCTAAATGACAATCAGCATTATGGTCCCCAGAAGGAGACCTAGTGGCTCAACAGGTAAAAGCTTGGCTGCAAACCAAAAAGTCAGTTTGCAAAGACCTGGTAATCTACTCCAATAAAGATTACAGTCTCCTGAACTCACCTCCGTGGCTCAAATTTCAGCCAAGCAATGGATTGGTATACAGGAGGACAACACTAGTAAGGTATGTTGTTGTTACATGCCACTGAGTCAGTTACAACCTTGTATAGGGTTTCCAAGGAGTGGCTGGTGAGTTGCAGTTTAAACTAACTTTGCAGTCCAGCACATTAACCCACAACGCCAACCACGTATTGTTGTTAGGTGCCATTGAGTCAGTACCAACTGATAGTAACCCTATCTATGCACAACAGAACAAAACACTGCCCGGTCCTGGGCCAACCTCACAATTGTTGCCACGCTTGAGTCCATCGATGCTGCCACTTGGCCAATCCATCTCTCTGGGGGTCTTCCTCTTTTTCTCTGACCCTCCACCTTACCAAACATGATATCCTTCTCCAGCGAGTGGTCCCTCCTGACAATATGCCCAAAGTATGAGAGACAGTTTGGCCATTTTGGCTTCCAAGGAGCACTCTGGTTGCACTTCTTCCAACCACGTATGCTCACCATAAAATGATCAACCATTCAAGATCAAAAGGGCAACACCTACCCAAGGACCAAGTTGAGAAGGGTTGGAAGAGGAGGAAGAATGGAAACAGGAAAAACAGAGAGGAAGTAGAATAAGTGATGTTACATTAAAGGGACTGCAATCATTGAGATGAAACAAAGAGTATGATTTGTTGAATGTGAAACTGATGATCTGCTCGGTGAACCTTCACCCAACTCACAATAATAAGTCAGTTAAAAAAAAGAAAAAGAACAAAAGAATGCAGTCATGCACCTAGGAGTAGGAATGGCGAGAAAGGGGAGACTGACTGGTGAACGGCTGGCCAGATGTGGCTCTTACCATCTTGTGAGCAGTTTTGGCAATGGAGGGAGGCCTGGCAGAGCAGATCCACTCAGGCACAGTGAAGGTGCAATTTCATCTCCTTCCCCATGACCCCCTGGTAACCAGAGGTGTAGTCAGCCTCCACCCTCATCCACCACCAGGTGCAGACGCTGCTTCCCACAAGTTGGGAGCCACGCTGAGTGTGAGTTGGGAGCTGGCTGTACCGCTTTGGTACTTGGATTCAGGCGGGCTCCGCTCTAGACTTACAAAGCCCAAGGAGCAATCAGAACAGCATTTAATCAGTCATCCTACTACCAGCTTCCCTGTGGTCCTAACAGACACTGAAACCAGCTCCACCAAGGACCACCAAGAAACGTGTTCCAAATTAAGTGCCAACAGGAACTCCATCATCTAGGGGGGCCAAGAACTCTGCTGTCACATTCCTTCCACAACCACCTTGTGAGGTTCTTGAATTGCAGGAGTGCCCCAGAAATTTCTCCCCTCCAGGTCCAATAACTACACTATTTTTACAAATATAACCCCATGATGCCCCAGAGACAATGCCTCGAAGCAACCAGAGAGAATGGCTCAAACAAATGGCCAAGATGCAGAGTCAGAAGACAATTCTAAGGAAGAAAAGGTAATAGAACTAACTGAAAAAGAATTCAAACGAATGTTGGTTAGATGCCTTCAAGGGGTATATAGAAAGAGCAAGGAAAGCAAGGAGAACACAATAAAAACTTTACAAGAATTCATGAAAACACTATAAGAACAAGTAGACAAAATAAATGCAAATTTCAAAACGCTACAAAACCTGCCATTAGAAATCCAGAAGATTGATACTAAGATCTCAGAAATGACAATATATTGAAGGGGCAAAGGAGTAGATGCAAAGCAACAGAAGCCCTAATTGGTGAGCTTAAATTGAAATCTCTCAATACTGGTATGCTAGAAGAACAATCAGAAAAAAAAGAATAAAAAATCTGAAGACAGCCTAAGAGTTATGTGGGACACCATGAAGAGGAACAACTTATGGGTGATCAGCATTCCAGAACAGGAAGAGACAAGCACAGAGAAAACTGTTGAAGAGTTAAGGGAAGAAAATTTCCCTAAAGTGAGAAATAACTCTTATGGGCGTGGTCCATCTTCAGGAATTCATGAGATTGTAGGCCTGGCAACCAGATTGTTGATTTACATACAGGGAGGGATATGTAACCTGGCTGTTCTGGGACTAGGAAATTTAAATAATACAACCATCAAGACAACTTGGCTTCTCTGGGGGAAGGGAAAATGGATGTGTCATAGAATTGTATATGGGGAACTGGAACTGGAAGAGGGGCTTTTTGGAGACAAGTATAAAAACTGTTTGTGGCTGGTCCTGTGGAGCGCCTGCCTGTGTCTACTGGGTTGGGCACCCGATTTTGCAAAATCGAATAAAGAAAACCTCACTCTCACTAAAATGAGTACAGATTGGATAACTTGTGCGTTTGTCAGTATAGACAACGTTTCTCACACTAATATTATAATAAAAGATGAGAAAATAAGCAAACAAGAAGGTGAACAAACCCCAAACAGGATAAATCCCAACAGAAAATCACCAAGACATATCATAATCAAACTTTCCAAAAGCAAAAATAAGACTTCTGAGAGCAGCTTGGGGAAACAAAAAGTTACCTACAAAGGAAAACTAATAAATACAAAGCTTGGATTTTCAGCAGAAACCATTCAGGCAGGATGACATACACAAAACTCTGAAAGAAAAAAAACGCCAACCAAGAATCATATACTCAACAAAGCTGTCCCTCAAATACTATGGTAAAATTACAACATTTCCTGTTAACAAGAAATCTGTAATGACCAAACCTACTTCAAAAAAATGCGAGAGGGTGTTCTCTGGACTGAGAACCAACAACCGCAGACAACAACCTGAGATTACCATACATGACCGCACCACCCAGAACTCAATCCAGGTATATTTAAAGTAAAGCCAATCTACAAGACTGAAACTAGGGAACCAGAGATATCAATAAATAATAAAGTCAATTATAAAGCAAAAAGACGGAATAGATACAGAACTTCCAAATGGCAAAGAAGTCAAGTAGATTTCAAGACAAAACAAGACTGTTTTGAGCAGGGAGAAAAATTAATAAATTATAGGGTAATCTCAAAGAAAAATAATACACCTGCACATCAAAAATTTTTCTAAAAGAGGAAAATAAAAAAAATTAGTAAACATTAACCAACAAAAATGAAAAACAAAAACCCACAAACAAAGTGAACTCAGCATAGAAAATTATATGGAACAAGAACCCAGCAGCATCACAGAAAAATGATATCAAGTCACACCTACTGATAATTATACTGAAAGTAAATGAATTACATGTACTAGTCAAGAAACATAAACAGCAGAACGGATAAGAAAATAGGATCTTTCAATATGCTGTCTATAAGAGAAACATCAAAAAGATG